AAGTGAATATGAAGTAATATATGATAAAAGTAAATGACAGGAGAACTAATGATCAGATAAGTAACTACTAAAGAAGAAAGTAAGGGGAGTCCAAATCCTATGGGAGTCACTTTACTATAGCACCATGTTCACCCCGGGGTCAGTCCATTCCGACAATTAGACATTTCCATCTTTTATCAAACGTCCAGCACTTCAACATTAATTTTTCTGGTTGGAGTGGCGGCACTTTAGCTTTTTTTTTTTCAACATTCCTCCATTCTGACACACAAAGGAATTATCAAGTTGTGGCGGCGCTCTTTTCAGGACAATATTTTCACAGAAGGAGGTAAGCGAAGCCTGAAAATCTCCTTTAAAGACGTTCTAAGAAGTATATTTACACTCGTCCTTCACTGATCAGAGCGCTCAGAGTGAGACCTGTTTGTAAAAAGAGTTTAATCAACTCAAATAAAGAAGTGAAAAATTCCTCCAGTTCGCAGCGAGAAGGGTCCAGCATACCACAGCACAAAAGTACACAAAAAGTACTGCAAACAAGTACCACAAAGACCCCGCTGAGACCTGAGAGAGTCCAAGACCCAGCAGTCGGGTTTCAGTCCAGGATTTGAGAGATCCAAGACACAAGAAAATAATGAGAAATGCAAATGATCTGAGAGAATCTGCATCTGAAAAGTGTCCACTCCAGTTTCAACATTTTAATCTGAACCAAAGCCGAAAAAAACAAGAGAAACAACCTTAAGCTCCTTGTGTGTTTAGACCAGAGACGTCCAAGATCCTGCACAGATCTGGACCAGGGACCAGCTACTCCTGACCGAGATCTAGGATGGTGAAAAGTATCAAAAATCAGATTTGAGTCGATACTAAAGCTGATCAAAACAGTCAGTCCCAGTTCAATCAGAACAAACAGAAGAGCACATGGACCAGAAAGTACTGTCATTTAAAGGGCCCGTCTCATGTAAAATCAACTTTTCAGAGCTTTCTACCTTCTAAGAGTGATGTGTGGGCCTTGTATTTGTCGCCAAAGTGTTTTTTACATTGATTCGGCGTTTTTTTTAACAATCTGCAGCGTATTTCTGCCACCCTCCCACTAAACTAAAGCTGCTACAACGATGACGCAGCAGATACACCTATGACATGTTTGGAGGGCGGAGCCTGTGCTTTCTCAGGACGGGCGGGGGGATGAGCAATAGTCGGTCTTTCATAGTTCCTGGTCTGTGACGGTCTCCAAAAAAAGAGTTATTTTGCATGACATGGGACCTTTAATGTTGGAAATCACAATCTATTGTCTAATTTATTTAGACATGTGAGTGTTTTTTTTTTTTTTTTTTTTATTACCGGATCAGCATCGAGTATCATGTCTGTTACTTAGTACTAAAATGGAGTTTGAAATGTCAGTATTGTATAATATAAGTGGTACATCAGTGGTGCGAGGCTGCTACACTGAACACAGAAAGTGAAACAAAGCTGCACACTTGCTCCAAACTGCATTTAATCAAACATGATGTTTGGATCAGTGGACTTGGTTACAGGAAAAACATGTAGAGCAGGGCTCCCCAACCTGTGGGCCGTTTGGTACAGGGCTAAAAGGTGAGATAACGTGAGGAGCTCAGTCACACGGGAGGAGCTCAGAATAGAGCCGCTGCTCCTCCAGGTCAAGAGGAGCAGTTGAGGTGTTTTGGGCATCTGTTCTGATGCCTCCTGGACGTCTCCCTCGGGAGGTACTCATGTCCCACTGGGAGGAGCCCCCAGGGAAGACCCAGGACACACTGGAGGGACTATGTCTCTGGGCTGGCCTGGGAACACCTCGAGGTCCCCCAAGAGGAGCTAGAGGAAGTGTCTGGGGTGAAGGAAGTCTGGGAGTCCCCTGAGACCTGGCCCCGGATAAGTGGAAGAAAACAGATGGATGGGTTTTATTTGTGTTCTGTTTCCAGGTTGAGCCGTTCACTCCCTAACAGAAGTCGTTCTGTGTTTTGGATTCTGCTCGTACACACTCACATAAAACTCTGCAGCGTGTCTTCAATGTAACATTTGGAAAACTTCACCAACTGGCAAACAAAGTCCCACAATAAACAGTTTGATTTCATTGAGCTTACTTACTGACTAAGCAGTTTTCAAGATAAATGTTTTTTTTTAATGATGTCAAAGTTTTTGGGACACTCTGTATTTTATGTGTGGACATCTCCTGTGGTTCACTTTACGACTGACCAGACGATCAGTGAGCAGGAGGTTTATATGGGAGAGACACAGACAGAACCATGTCCTGACCAAGATCCACTGATCCAAACATCATCATTCACTGAGAGAGCAGCTTAGTCTCACTTTCCCAGTGTGAGTACGTGACATCAGCAGCAGGATCCCAGCTCAGATCTGGAGAAGGGTCCAGCTCCAGGGACTCGGCTGTGGAAGAGTGTGAGGAAATATTTTTTACTGTCTAAGAGTGAAGCACTCTGGAGACACATATAACAGTGATGTATCTGCCCCCACACGGAGCTCCAGGACGAGAGGGGGCGTGTGTGGAGGCTCTGCCCGCTCAGAGGCAGCCTGACCTGGGGAGAGCGGCGCCGGACGAGGGGGCTGCTCTGGAGAAACGGAGGAGAGGAAACAGGACGTGCTCTGAGTTTTATTTAACCACAGCATCCTCCCACACAAGGAGCAGACTACGCTGTTTGGTTTTTGTTATAAAAATACACGTTTTTAAATTGGATTCTCTCTTGTGGACCTATAAAATGTGTCTCAGCTCGGAAAATGTCACTGTGTTCTTTTACAGTTTGGTTTCAGGAAGAAAGAGTGAAATCTAGAGTATTTGCATCTCGCTGGGTCCTGGTTTAAATTATAAAGTGTATATATAAAAAGAAAGTGAACATGGGCGCACTTCCTGCTCCATCAACTCTGGCTCCAATTCTAAAAAATGTTTTCTCTTTCTGTAACTGTTATCATCAGTCTTCTTATTTTGGTCTTAACATGTTTGTATTAACCCACGTTACATGATCCTCATGTTTTTATTTCACTATTTTGTCCGTAAATAAATTCTTAATGATCTCTGTTCTAATGTTGTTTCCTCATCACAATCAGACCTGGAGTTGGGTTTTGTTTCATTCACATGTTTAACATTAATCCATATGCATATCCAGGCAATGTTCTTCCCTCAAACAGAAAAATCTCTGTTCTACTTTTGTTTATAGTGAATAATTCGTTCATAGTTCCAAAAAACTAGTTCATCGTTCTTTTTCAGTACGTTGTTGCTGCGAGTGATTATTATTCAATATCACTGCCAAAGTCCAAACAGAACCACGGACAGTAATTATTTGATCAGTTTTAACAATGAAACTCTGCGTTAGATTTCATCTTCATTAGGGCTGCGCAAAAATATCAAAATATTAATATATCGTATCGTTTAATATGCTGATACAGCATCAGTATCATGGGCGGCTGTATCGATATATCGCCAAGAGTATTTTTGATATATTTGATTAAATTCTTTTGTTACAGTTACAGTTTTGTTGTTTGTTTAGTGGAGGGAAACTTATTCATGTTACACATTTAACATTTTCACTGTTTTGATTGAAATGTCTGTTTTTCATATGAACTTTGAACTTTGAAGTGATTTAACAAAGACTTTTAGTATCACAGACACAACCTCCACCAACAGGGTCTTTTAAGTGTAACAGCTGCACCAACATATGTCACACCAAGTCATTTCTGGACGATCATTCACAAAAAGAATATACAATAAAACACTTTATCAGTTGCAAAACAACATTTGCAATTTACAGATTGTTTGCCCTACTTCCAAAGTGTTCTACAGGGATGACCAAAAGGTGCTTGCAGAAGCGCCTGACTGAGCATAAATATGTTCTCCATACAGGTAATACCAACTATCCTCTGGCCAGACACTTTTTGGAATTTCATAACAGCAACACATTTACTCTGCAGGTACAAGGAACTGATCATATATCAGAGTCTTTACGAAAAGGAAACTGGATTGTAAAACTCAGTGTGAAACCGACTGGAGTTGTAAATTACAGGCAACAAAATCTCCTGCGCTCAGTGAAGATTTGGACTTGTGTGTTTTTATAACTGACTGGTATTTTTTGTGTATATATATATATATATATTATATATTTTTGTACATAATGGGTTTTTCTATACCCATGACGTCCCACTGTTCTAACACTGCCATCTTGTGGTGTTATCAGGTGGTGTCCACAGGTGAATCTCTCCTCCTCTTGCAGGTGGAGCAGCCCTGTTGGTGGGTTTCTTCTATTTAATTCACATGTTTTACTCTCAATTCTGTTTGTTCCCTGAGGAAAACCACAGGCTGAAATGTAAGTTGTCCATTAAGACATGTCGTAAATGAATAAAGGTGTTTGATTTTAACCAGTGAGTGCTTTGGTTTTTTGCATCTTATGACTTAGCCTTTGATTTTTATTGAACTGTATTGAATTGATTTGAAATATATCGTACTGAATCGTATCGAATTGTAAGCTCACTGTATCGAGATATATATCGTATCGCCAACTTGTTAATGATACTCAACCTTAATCTTCATATCAAATTCTGAATCTTCATCCAACCAGTGAATGAAGTTAAAAAAGAAGATTAAGTTAAAAGAAGCACATGTTGTTCACAGACACCAGATTGAACGTGTTCACAGTTCGTTCATCAGGCACTAGTGCGTTCAGTCCAAAACATACTACAGGTCAGTTAAATATAATCAATCAATGAACCTGCCCAGGGCACTGGTGCTAGTGGCGAGACACTTCACCTTCACTGCCTAATATAAAAGTGGTGTGTGTGTGAGTGATGGTGGTGGTCGGAGGGACCATTGGCGCTGATTGGCATGGCAGCCGTGCTTCTGTCAGTCTGCCCCAGGGCAGCTGTGGCTACAACAGTAGTTTACCATCACCACATATAGAGTGAATGAATAATGCTGAATAATCCTCTGTAAAGCGTCTTTGTGACAAAAATGTCTGTGAAAAGCGCTATATAAATAAAGACTTACTTACTTACTCAGTTCACGCTCACCCAAAATATGGTACAACACTCACTGCATGACATCACAAGGTGGAACAGAGCATTTTGACTGTTGGAGACAGAACACACAGAACACAGAACATGTGTGAATGAAACAAAACACAACTCCAGGTGTGTTTTTAATCAGGGAACAACATTATAGCCTGACTTAAAGCTCACAAGAGTTCACTTTGTGCGATACAGAACCTTAAAGCAAAGACAAGAGAAACTTGCTTTAGAAAACACGTTATTTTTTTCTGTAAATTACAAGGCAACAAAACTATTCTGTGCAAATAAGCGGCTGTGCTTCTGTTGATGTACAGAGCAGCACATGGACAAGAATAACTCCATGACGTGCATCAGAGATGATTCACTTGATGTGTTTCAGTCTGAGCAGTTCCAATACTTTATCTCCGACGGGAGGCAAGAACACAATGGAGCAGAGTCAGACCTGGTCCAGTCTAGTTTCGATCACTCCCCCACAGACCAGGACCCCCCACAAAACCTACACCACCACACACACGGCTCAGTACAGTCCTCATCTGGTCCTGGTCTAGTCCTGGTCTAGTCCAGTTTCGCTCACTCCCCCACGGACGAACCAAAACCCCCCACAAAACTCGACGGGACCACACTCAGACTGAGATCCCGTTCTGGACCGGTTTTAGTTCTGGTTGAGTTTCAGAATGAGCTCATGCCTTCAGAATGTGCACGCCTCACTCCTCCACAGACCTGGACCTCCCACAGACCGAGATCCAGGTCTGATCCTGCAACTCGTTTCACTGATTAGAACTAAAAAATAATCTATACATACAAACACTTTCAGACACTAAAATCCTCTTTACATTCTGCAGTGACGAGCGGAGCCACAGCTGCCCCGGGACAGACTGACACAAGTGAAGCATCCACAACGTAAAGTGCTCAAACCACAAACCTCCTCTAGACCAAGGACTAGTCTAAACCAGGTCTAAACAAGGTCTAAACCAGGTCTAAACCAGGTCTAAACCAGGTCTAAACCAGGTCTAAACAAGGTCTAAACAAGGTCTAAACTAAACCAGGTCTAAACCAGGTCTAAGGTCTAAACAAGGTCTAAACAGGTCTAAACCAGGTCTAAACCAGGTCTAAACCAGGACTAAACCAGGTCTAAACCAGGTCTAAACCAGGTCTAAAACCAGGTAAACAAGGTCTAAACCAGGTCTAAACAAGGTCTAAACAAGGTCTAAACCAGGTCTAAACAAGGTCTAAACCAGGTCTAAACCAGGTCTAAACCAGGTCTAAACCAGGACTAAACCAGGACTAAACAAGGTCTAAACCAGGACTAAACCAGGACTGAACCAGGTCTAAACCAGGTCTAAACCAGGACTAAACCAGGTCTAAACAAGGTCTAAACCAGGACTAAACTAGGACTGAACCAGGTCTAAACCAGGTCTAAACAAGGTCTAAACCAGGTCTAAACCAGGACTAAAACAGGTCTAAACCAGGACTAAAACAGGTCTAAACCAGGTCTAAACCAGGTCTAAACCAGGACTAAACCAGGTCTAAACAAGGTCTAAACCAGGTCTAAACCAGGTCTAAACCAGGTCTAAACCAGGTCTAAACCAGGTCTAAACCAGGTCTAAACAAGGTCTAAACCAGGTCTAAACAAGGTCTAAACCAGGTCTAAACCAGAACTAAGCCAGGTCTAAAACAGGTCTAAATCAGGTCTAAATCAGGACTAAACCAGGACTAAACCAGGTCTAAATCAGGACTAAACTAGAACTAAACCAGGTCTAAAGCAGGACTAAAGCAGGATTAAACCAGGACTAAAACAGGTCTAAACCAGGTCTAAACCAGAACTAAGCCAGGTCTAAAACAGGTCTAAATCAGGTCTAAACCAGGACTAAACCAGAACTAAGCCAGGTCTAAATCAGGACTAAATAAGGACTAAACCAG